AACGCAAAATATTTATGGGTACTTTAGCATGAGTAATTGCTGAAGCACCATAAGTTGAGTGACCTTACTGATTGACTATGTGCAATTTTTAAAAGGATTGAGGAGAAGTGATGTGAAATTCAAAACATTATATATGTAAACGTTAACTAGTCAATGTTCAGGAAAACATAAATCATTCTGCAATGCTGCGGAAATATGTATTGCCAGCTTTTCTCAATAGATAGATTTATGTGGGGAAATATTTATTACAACTGAGCCGTAAGAAAAGCATATTGAGCCCTCAGCAACTGTGCACATTATATTGTAATAATACAGTGAAGAAACTATTAAGAAAAAAGGCTTAATACCTGAGATTTAATTGATCTTATTTACAGCATAATTGCTCATCCATAATATGGCTCATTGCTTTTGCCATCAAGACCTACTCAGGTTTAGATTTAGAAATAAGTTACTGACATCAGTTTTCTATTTCAAAGAAGTTTGGAAATAATACCCTAAAGACTTATTTTTTAACCACACACAGAATCTAAATATATTCAGATTATTAGAAGAACAATTCTTTGGAACCAGCAGGTCCAAAATTTGCTTTAAAGATCCTAAGCCAAATGCTCCATTCTGACTTTCCCTGTAAAGTACCAGCTGCCACAGGCTTTCCAGCATGTTGCCATTCATCACAATCCACGTGTTGTCAATAGTCATAGCTGTATTTCAGACATATAGGTGAAATAGCACTACACATTGCAAACTGCTAAAATGAGCCGCATGGCCTTCTGTGCTGTAAATTTCTATGGTGCTGAAGATTCGTAAATATTGAATCCCGCATGTACCTGGAAGTGCTTCATGCTGACCTGCAGGGACTCCATTTCAACATTGCAAATGGCAACTTACATTTTCTGCTCTCTCTAACTTGCTGAATAATATTGATAATGTGTGGATTAAGTTACATCCACTAATAATCCAACTTCCCAAAACATTCCATAACACTATTCAAAAAGAAAAGGGAATTTCTCCCAGTCTCCTGGCTAAGAATTCCCCCATATAAAAAAAAGGCGTTCATGTTATGGCTGTTTGTAGGACAGTATACAAATCACAGCCACATTCATCTACAAATACAGTCACTACACTTTACAGAAAAACTCTGTGAAGTGTTTTGAGATTTTTGCCGTGATAAGGTTCTGTACAAACTGCAATAATTATTAGTTATCTAACCCTAAATCATTTATTTTTCTCGGGTTTTCTGCGGCTTTTCAAGAAAAAGGCTCTTCAAAAAGGCTGCAAGCTTGCTATGCCTTACTTATGCCTAAGTAATATTATAATTCGGTAGGGTGAAACTATGATTGGACACTCCCGAGAAACGAGGATGGGCTTATCATCATTAAAAGGTGCGAGACTGCTCGGCTCGTGGTGGCTTCTTCAAATTGTTTTTACATCAAAGAGGTAAGTACCTGACTCAGAGGAGGAGTCCTCGGGTCACAGTTGGTTTCTTGTGTTTATTACTAATTGGCTGCTAACTTTTGTAGTTCAAATTTTATTATTCCCATTGAGTCATTTTTATCCAATTTGTATAAGTTAGGCATAGGGCTGTGAGAAACTCCAATAAAATACCTTAATCGTGCCTCTTGAGTCTCTGTATAAATCAGGAGGAAGGGGGATTTTCAGACGCAGGTTGAGCCTACATCACAGTCCTGTAGTGTGCAGGACTCTGGTGGAAGCTTCCCTCTGCTATTTATATAAAGCATTGCTAGAACCTGTCATTGTGTTGAGTGTCATTAGTGAAGTTACACATTAGATTAGGGAATTTGCACTTTCAGAGGTAGATCAAACACAGAAGCCACCTAATTTACTTCACAGGAGACACTTCACGGGTTTACATTAGGGGTGAGAACCTCAGCAGCCCAAGGTAAGGACAACTCAGTCCTGTTAAGACTTGTTTGCTTTTACCTTTCAGTAATGGTATTTTAGCAGATTGCATTTTTATTCTTAGCTTTAAAATTGTATTTTGGTAACATTAACCCTAGTAGATATATGCTGGAAAACTAAGGTTTGCTGCTGAAGAATCGGTTCCCCTAGCAATGTCATACCCTTAAAATCCCTGAAACATCTATCTACGATGGTTTACTTTCAAACTAGATGCTAAAGGTTACAATGCTATCTCCTTGATAAGATATGACAGATTATTTATCACTCACCAACCTGACCCTCATACATGCCATCATTGCAACCAGGCTTGACTGTACTAACTCCCTGCTTGTCGGCCTTCCCAACTCTTCCCTCCTCGCTCCCTCCCTTCCCTCCCCTCAACCTGACCATTTCCCCCCCTGCTCAGGTCCCGACCCAACTGTCCAGCGCCTTGGGACGTCCTCTCGACGTGAAAGGCGCTCGCTCTATAAATGCAATCTTGTTGTTGTTGTTGTTGCAGATCATCCAGAACTCTGCAGCTTGTGTCCTCACCCGCACCAGGCTCCGTGCCACCATCACTCCTACCCTCAACTGGCTCCCCATCTCTCAAAAGATTGAGTTCAAAATTCTCGTCCTCACCTTGAAGGCCCTCCATGGCCTTGCCCCCTCCTACATCTCCGACCTGCTAACCCCTTATCAACCTGTCCGATCCTCTGCTCAACAGGCTCCAACCTGCTCCATGTCCCCCATCTAGCCCATCAGTAATTGGGCCTTCAGCCTCTCTGCCACCACCCTCTGGAACTCCATCCCCCATTCAATTCGGCTCGCTCCCTCCCTTGCCTCCTTCAAGGATATGCCTCAAGACCCTCCTCTTCGACCATGCCTTTGGCATGTAATTATGCAAACCCTCGACTGTCCAGTGCCTTGGGATGTCCTCCCAACATGAAAGGAGCTATATAAACACAAATTCGTGTTGTTATAATAGCAATCTTTGTACTTATTATATTAGATCTATTTTATGTTTGCATGGAAAGTGTTCCTCTACTTTTTTCAGCAACTGCTTAAAGACAGAGTCAGCTCCCACTATGTCTTATGTGAAATTAAGCCTGAAAGATCCCAGGTTTAAACCCAGTTTTTTCGTTCAAGGAACTGAGGTGAGATAACAGTAGGGGTTATTACAGTTGGCCTTAGGGTCCTTTGGGATAGGGAAGAAAGAACTGTCATGGATTCCCACTCTTTATGTCTATTCAGGGAAACGTACGTGTGTATGAATGCTGTATAGGGACAGGGTTGTTTTGGCTGTGTTGCCTCTCCCAATGAACAGCCTGTCAACACTCACTTCCTAGCATCACACATGAAGTGAAGAGTGGTTGTTCGGTTTAAGAAATAGAAAAGATATGTATAAAAGGTAGAAATCTATACGTACATGGAATATGCTCACATAATCAACACAATTTTGTGGATGTAACAATCTCAAAGTTATTTTATTTTTAATTAATTTTCGCCCACAAACTACAATTTACAGTATATTCTGTGAAGCCCTTTGAGACGTCTCAATGAAGTGGTAAGAAGCTATATCAAATGCAAGGATTATTATTATGGTTATAAATATTGCAACATGTCCAGTACCAAGTAATAAACCCAGATTTACAATTGAATTAATGAGTTATGGGCACGGATGGGAATGATTATATTGATAATGGATAGTAAACCACTCTAGACACAAATCTGGCTTTTGACAGATCATGTGCCTTAAAAAAATGAGATAGTGGTATGTGTTGAACCAATATTGACAAAAAGAAGAATCCTTTCAATCGCCTGTCCATTGTGGTTGCTCAGAGGTTTTTAGAGCAATGCAGTGAGTACTATCTGCTGTCAGTAATGTTAGCAGTGCACTTTCGTTTTGGTATGTGACCAATTTTGATGTAATTTATTTTGATGAAGTCTTTATTGATCTGTGTCTGTTTCATGTGTTCTTCACTCACAGAATGGCACGCAGAAAATAAATTTAATGACTGTACATCAATGGAAAATAGGAAAGGAAACTCATTTTATATTTTCTGTGGTCCTGGAGGCATTCTGCTAAAAAAAATGCAGAAGGGCTAGTAGATGATGAGACTATAATGTAGTACACGTGAAGAGAAAAAATCTTCTTCTATTCTTTATTCACCTTACGCTGTTGACCATTATTATGTTGATCATTTCCACTTACAAGAGGACAAATTATGGTAGCATGAACAGATCTAAAAGAGAGTTTAGAAGGAATTTCTTGACACAGAAGATGGTGAGAATGTGTAACTCACTGCCAGAAGCTGTGGTTGAAGCAGAAAGCATTTAAGAAAAATCTTGATGCACATGGACAGGAGGAGAGAATAAAAGGGTTTGGGAGAGGTAAGGGAGAGGGAATAAGGTGGATAGATGTGGAGTATAAACTCTGGCAAGGAGTAGCTGGTCTGAATGCCCTGTTTCAGGTCTAATTGAATCTATGTAATTCTATGTAATAACAGTTAAGCAAACCTGATCCACTGATCCATGAACATGATCCCCAGCCTCCTTGCATCCATCACGGTGAATTGGCCCAAAGCCAGCCAATGGGTTTACAACAACTTGAATTGATTTAGTGCCCTTCACACAGGGCAGCATCTCAGAGCGCTCGGAGCGATTTACTATAAAATGTAGTAGCTGTGTATTTTGTGGTAGAACCATCAGCCAATTTGCATACACTAGTATCCCTCAAACAGCCATGAGGTGAATGATGAATTTTATCGGGGCATCGTTGGCCAGGACATAAGAGAACCCCCCTTCTCGTTTCGAGTAGTGTCAGGGCATCTTTATCATTAACGTGAACTGGCAGATGATACCTTGGTTTAACGTTTGAGCTAAAGGATGGTACCTCCAACATTGCAGTGTACCCCCAGTATTGTCCTGAAGAATTCAAAGTCCCAGCGTGGGCTTGAACTCTTCAACTTCTGACTCAGAGGCAAGAGTGCTATTAACTGAGCCATTTGAGATAGTCATACTCTGTGCAATGGGATTTCCTTTTTATAGCAGTATCAATCTTCACAAGTGGAAAACAATGATGTATCGAACCAATCACTTACCCTATTTGCCTGTTGGTAGAAGGTGCTTGTGTGATGACTGAGCTGGATGTTGGTGAAGGCATGGCTTGTTGAATTACAACGCTGGTGTCATGGTTTGACATCCTAGAGCTGGCAAGTTGGTGTGATGCTGCTCCAGACACCTGCCCTGGGACTGACCCATGCATTGATATGTTCTTCAACAAAAGAAAAAAATCAATTAAAATATGTACAATTTTACCCAGCATTGTAGAAAGAAGAAATGATACTCATTGTTATTGCTCCTTATCGTGTCAGAACACATCAAAGTGCTTTACAGGCAATTTCTGTGAAGTGTGAGAACTGTTTTTGGAGGCAAATTCAGAAGCCATTTATGTCAGCAAGCTCCCATAAACAGCCATAAGAAGAATTATTGTGGAGGAGAACGTTTCTCTTTCAAATAAAGTCATGAGATCTTTACTATCTATCTGAATAGGCAGATATGATCAAACATGTTTGATGTGCCATCCAAAAGATAGCACCTTGAACAATGCAGAACTCCCTCTCTCAGTTCTGCACTTCAGTGTCAGGTGAGCCTAGAGCCTGATTTTACTATTTTACAGAAAATTCCAAATCATTGCCCATTTAATGAACTATTTGGTTTTACTATCTGCTCATAACATACATGATATAATGTATTTGTCGTCTCTCCTTTTGATCCACTTGCACACACAGGTGACTGAGCAGTTGGACTGGCAAATAGCTTGTGTATCTGTTAATACTTCATTGCAACTGCCATAAGGAGAGCTGAGGGTACTCATCTTCTGATTATTCTCCCTCCCTTTGAAGCTGCACATAGATATTACTTAGTTAGCAGGTGAGATGAAAAATGACTCTATGGAGAAACCATGCTCAATAGCAATTTGCTTTGAATGCCAATAAACTGTGGCACCATGCCACTCCTTGAACTATTAAACCCTCTTCACATTATAAAACAGTCGTCTGAGTCCTATATCCAAAACCCATTTAATAATTGAAACGCAATAAAATAGTTGAATTCCAGGTAATAAGGCTGCTCCTGGTATCACTATCTGCACATTGCTTGTGTGTGGATTATGTGCAGGAAGCACTGCTAATGTCACTTCCTGAGAGCTGCTGGTACGTGCTATACACAAGAAGCAATGCCATTTCACTTGTTTGTGCATGTAGTAATGTTAACAGCATCCCAACAACCTGGGAAGTCGGACATCTTTTAGCACTGGAAGCCAGCTAGTCAGCATCGGTAGCATCATGCCTTTGGTTAGTTTGAGTCCACAAGACAGCAGTGCTGTACTCTTCCTTAGTTAGATGTCATTGCCATCTAACTAAGCGTTCATCTTGCTCAGCGTTCTTTATTCGATTGTCTTCCTGTCAGCTTCCAACCTGGAAATATTCACTACTGACACCCTGTAAGTTTGTGACTATAACTCGCTCTTTTACCTTCCTCTCTGCTTTCTCCTCTGTTGACCACTCTATTCATCTTCACTATTTCCCCTCATGGGTCCATTTTTATGCCATTATCTGCTCGAGGCTCTACTCCTACCTCATCAACATCATTACAATGTTTTCTCATCCCACATCCTTCCGTTTCATGTCTGGCATATTCCAAGGCTCATACCTTGTTTTAAAACCTTAAGAGCAGTTCATCAAACCACTCTTTAAGTTTAATGCAATTATTTTTTGTCAATTGGGTGTCTGACAAATGGGGAAACCCATCACCATTCTTAAATATCCAAACTGAGTGTTACATGTATGCATGCCACCCATACATAGAATTTTCTCATGTCTGGCATGGAGTGTGCACTCTCTCCCCGGAGGGCTGCAGCCTGCTTACGTATATCTAGAAAATATTAGGTGCAGTTTGGCAGGAGCCAAGGCTTGGAGCGTACTGCTGAAGTTTAATACATACAATAGCACAGTGTAGCATTAAGAGCAAAGTCTGGCAAGGCTTCAGCTTGCTGCTTATCCAGCTACCCATTTGAGCTTTGGCTTTCAGGATTAACACTTTAAAACTGTAGTGAGAAAAATCCCTGCTCCCAGTAAATAATGTTTTATAATCCTTGCATTTGATATAGCGCTTTTCTAGACGTCTCAAAGCACTTCACAGAATATACTGTAAATTGAGTTGACTGTATATTTGTGGGTGAAGCGCAGTAGCACAGCAATAGTCGTGGAAGTGACCAAATTATTTATTTATTTTAAACACTGTTACGGACGCAGACGTGCACGTACACTCCAACAAATACTATTTTGGTATAATCTAAATTGAGGTGAGTAATACGAGTGGTGTAAAGAAATCTAAGTGGTTTTGATAGGAAACTGATGGGACTTGGGTGAATATACGACTTAGGTGTTTATACAATTCATAAAGATAAAAGTTATGTGAGTTTTACTGTACTCCCCATTAAGAGGATTTTGCAGTGACTCCACTAAATCACTTTTATACTGCATCCTTTGCATCAATTTCATTGCAGCAAGTCAAAACTGCAGCAAATCAAGGCAAACAGTGCCACAGAAGTGGGGCGTTGGATCATCTTATATTTACAAAATTATTGGAGTAAAAGCCATCCTGTAAAGTATCATGAAGGATAGTGCATGATTTGCCTAAAGGAATACAACACTACCCTTCAGGATACTTAATGCTCATCTCAGTGTAACCTTAAAACCAGCTGTTTGGCTGTTCATTCAATGACCTGATCTGAATCACAGCTTACCTTGTCAGGTCGGGTTGCAGAAACTGTCTGGCATAGAGTTGACACTCGTGCTGTACTGTCAGTAATTGATGTCTCTTTGTTCTGCACCTCCGCCAGACTGGAAATGCCCAACCCTGATGAAGCCTATGGAAAACAGAAGAAATTCAGCAATGTGTAGAAAGAAATATGGAATGTGAAAGTGTCCGCCTGGCTTAGTTGGGTCGTATTCTTGCCTCCAAATCAAAAGGTTGTGGATTCAACCTTCCAAAAGTTTGTTGGAACTTTGAACTCACATCGTGTAAGCTGACAATCCATTGTAGTGCTGGAGGTACACTGAAATGTTGGAGTTTTAGTCCTTCAGACGAGATGGTAAACCAAGGTCCTATCTTTCTTTTCATGTTAAAGATCCAAAAGAACTATCTGAAAAGAGGAGGAAATTTATCCTGCTGTCCTGACCAACAATCCCCCAGATACAAATGATCCTTGCTTTTGTGGGACATTGCACAGATTGGCTACCACATTTTCCCACAAAATACTGTGATTAAAAGCTTTGGAATACTTTGACAATTTTCCGACTCTGCCAACTTGGGATTCACAATTTGATGGCCCCAAATTTACAATTTGATATTTATAAACTAGAAGTTGCAAACTAAAGGTCACGATTAAGCGCTCTGGTCCACTACCCGGGGTGAAGGGCGCTATATAAATGTAAGTTGTTTTTGTTGATGAATTCAAAAATATGGTTTGCAAATATCTGAATTTGGACCTCATTACTGTTCAGGAGACAAATGGAAATTGTGTTGAAATGTGGGTTGGGTTGGAATTCAATGCTTATGTACTTGTATTTGATTTAGAAGTAAGTAATCTAGCAGAAAAAAAAATTCCACCTCCACCACAGAAAGAACAGAACTCCAATTCTAGACTTTTGACTTCAGTCGGTTAATTCAGCAACTGATATAATATTTTACATTTTATTCACCAGTTGTTAAAGTCTGCAGAAATAGCCAAGTAAATTACGCTTTATATAGAATTTAGTCTTGTAACTATCTGGTTACATTAACATTCAGGACTTTATGTGCACCTGATTGAATCTGAACACTTCATATTATTGATCTTCTAAACTTTGGCCTCAAGAAATGAAAAGAATTGACAAGTCCTAAAGTTTCTGATAAGAATTCTTCCGCAAACTATCCAGATTATATCCAGAGATAAACTTCATACCCAAATATTCTGTACAGACATTGAATGAGCTGACATTTATTTTTGGTGTTTCCTCCCACTTTCGGTTTGCCACTGCTGCCACCTGCTGCCACAGGCAGGGCAGGCTTTGACTTGATCCTTTCCACAGCTACGGTCAATGCCACTCCGTAAACAGAAAATGAGAAATACGAGTGTTGGTAATAAACTAACGTTTAGATTGTACCAAAATAGTATTTGTTTGAGTGTACGTGCACATCTGCGTCCATAACAGTGTTTAAATAAAATTAATAATTGCTTGAAAAGTAATAATTTTAAAGGGTATATAAAAGAGCAGATAGCTCCAGTGGACTAGACAACACCAACACAGACACAATGGGCCAAACATTCTTCTTCTGTGCTGCAAACCTTCTGTAATTCATGCATGAACACAAGATCTCCTGCCAGTTTACATCTCCATTTGATTTATGTTAAGTTGCTACACATCATTTTACATGGAGAGAAACATCCAGAAGACCAGCTCCCCAAAGAGAAGTACAGGGTGCTTCCCATTTTGATTTCTATCCCTCCCTTTGGGTAAGTGCTTGAGCTCCACGCATCATTCAACCATCTACTGAAAAGCAGATGCTTGTTGTTCAGGGAATTCACTTCTGCAACTCTATTGACATTTTACAACAGTGAAAGATTTAACTTTATACTTTTAATAGTGGATATTTTTCCAGTTATGAAGCATTGCCAACTCATGTCAGCTGTGAACTAAATTGAGAAAGCTCAGACTAATTTAACTTCGAACCATTAACACTGTCAGACAGAGGAGATCTTCATCCATTCTGTCTGGACTGGATTATAACCCATTTCCCAGAGACAAAAAGACAGAAACTAACACAACGCCCACCCATTCTTCTCCGCTAGCAGCTTAAAAGGTTTTGGTGCAGTTTGCATCTGAATATTAAGAATGGAGACTGGTTTTAGATTTCACGCATAGTGTAGTTTGTTTTATAGCTGCCATCCATTTTCTAGATGGGCGGGTGGTTTATTGCTATTCTGATGTTTCTGGTTAAAGAACTAATGTACGCTATGTACAGATGAAAAATGCTTTTCATAACAGATTAGAAGAATTAATTATGAAATGTTACATTTTTCACCCAGGAGTTTTTTTATTAGTATTGAAGGAAGCTATTTTTCGTTAGTCTCCTTCAAGTCCCACCTCAAAACCCTCCTCTTCGACCATGCCATTGGTCCCACCCCTTCCCCTCCCTTCTCCCTCCTGACCCCAGCTCAGGTCTGAAATTGCTGTACACTGTCCAGCGCCTCGGAACGTCCTCCCGACGTGAAAGGCGCTATATAAATGTAACCTTGTTGTTGTTTTTCTTTTGGTCACCTCACATTCCAATTGTATGACAGTGGAAAAGGGCTTGCGTACCATAAGGCTCATATACCATAAAGTCTCACGTTGGGATTTTTAACTCAAAGTCTGGCATCGCACTCCAATGCAATGCTGAAAGTGTGCTGCATTGTTTATGGTCCTATTCTTCAGATGAGACATTAAAGCAAGGTCCTGTCTGCCTGTTCAGGTGGGCGTTAAAGATCCCATGGTGGTACTCAAAAAGAGAAGGGAGTTTCTCCTGGTGTCCTGGCCAACAATCCTCCAAATAAAATTGGTCATTCACTTCATGGTTGTTTGTGGGACATTGCTGCGCACAAATTGAATAATTTTACCTGGCAGATGGTTGATCTGGACATCAGGAGAAACTCTATCTTCCCCCGCCCACCACCACCCATTCCAGACATGGGGAAATTCCTTTGTGTAGGTGGCCCACACGTATGAAACTCTCAGTCTGGTTTGTATACTCTTGAGCTTGGAGATGGATTACCGTATGTGTCAGGCCAACAATAAAAACACACTTTTACAATACAAATTTATATTTACACAGCACCTTTCAGTCTTAGAGGCAATACTGGTGCTAGAATGGCCCTACTGGTCATAGGACAGCATTTAATAAACTTTGCATAAAAGTCTTCAGACTTGGTCTATCTTATACATCAGTATTGGGATCTTGTTTGACCCTCAACTATCCTTCCTACCCCACATCTGCGCCATGACCTGCTCTGCCTTCGCCCAACTCCACAACGTCGCCCGGCTCTGCCACTGTCTCACATCACAGGCCGCCAAAACCCTCATACATGCTTTTATTACATCGAGGCTCGACTATGCAAACTCATTGCTTGTTGGCCTCCCCAACTCTTCCCTCCACAGCCTGCAGATCATCCAGAACTCTGCAGCCCGTGTCCTCTCCTGCACTAGGCTCCGTGACCCTATCACCCCCATCCTTGCCCAACTCACTGGCTTCCCATCACACAAAGGATACAGTTCAAGATCCAGGTCCTCACCTTCAAAGCCATCCACGGTCTTGCTCCCCTCCTACCTCTGCCACCTTCTAACCCCCTTACCATTCTGTTCACTCCCTCTGCTCAGTGGGCTCCGGCCTGCTTCACCTCCCCTACCTTGCTTGCCCCATTATTGGCGGGCGGGCCTTCCGCCACTCTGCCCCCACCTTCTGGAACTCCATCCCACAGTCCCTCCGTCACGCCCTCTCCCTCGCTACCTTCAAGACCCATCTCAAGACCCTCCTCTTTGATCCAGCTTTCGATCTCCCTGCTTCCCCTACTGACCTCCACCCTCCCCCACCCCTACCCCCAGCTCAGGTCCGTAATTCTGTCTGTCCAGTGTCTTGGGACGTCCTCCCGACGTGAAAGGTGCTTCACAAATGTAATTTTGTTGTTGTATACATTACATGTTGAAATACTCATTTTGTGTAACATTCTCTTCACCCAATGACTTCTGCTAGAAAGCAGTGAAGAGTCCTGCTTTCTAGCAGAAGTCATTGGGTGAAGAGTCCTGTAGCTCAGTGGTTAGAGCACTCGCTTTGCAAGCGAGAGACCTGAGTTCAATTCCAGGCAGGTCAGGGCGAAACCTTGGGCAAGTTTCCTTACTCCACACGCCTAATAATAATCCCTCCAAAACCAAAAACAATAATAAATTGGTCATTTTCAATCTATGACTGTTTGTGGGACATTGCTGTGCGCAATTGGCTGCTGCGTTTGCCCACAAATATGCAGTCAATTCACTTTACAGTGTGTTCTGTGAAGCGCTTTGGGACGTCCTCCCGACGTAAAAAGCGCTATATCAAATGCAAGGATTATTATTATTATTAAGAGTGTGTGGAGAAACAAATCAATCTTTTCCAGTAAATATTTCCATTAACATTAGCTGTAATTATTATAGCACAGTGCAGATCCCTATTTCCCCACGACTCCCTCTCTCAAATAAAGGCAGGAGAGACCAGAAGGGAAAAATTACATTTACATACCCTTTTATTATCTTCCTCTTCCTGCGCTTTCCTAAACTCCTGTTCTAATGAACAAGCAAGTTCATTAAAAAGTCCAACTTCTTCACAGTTCTTCAGGAATCGAGTAGGGGTGGGGGTCTGATCTACAAAGAGATAAATTAAAATTAAACATTCAATTCACATTAAGTCCAATTTAGCAGATACAGGGCTTTATCTCACAAAGCCTCTAACAGTTCCAGAACACCTCCTGCCAGTCAATCAACAGAGTAGCATTTGTATCAGAGTTTTCGCCTTCATTTCTTGCTTGTTCTTCCCAGTGTAAATGTATATGGTGTGGGCGGTGGGAGGAAGAGAATGGAATAAACATATAGTTCATTATTCTAATATGAACTAAATGCTTTTTGACAGCAATTTTTGAAACACTTTAATATAGGCTGAGCACTTTTAGTGTGGAATCTCTAAGTTATAAGCTACCTTTGTGTCACACAAGTCACAAAACCAAGTGAAACCATTTTGCATTAATACATCCCACACTGGTAATGGACTTACATAGACAGGCACAGTATGGAATCAGGGAACAATATATAACAAAGCCATAATACATAACCTGGACACAATACCAACCTGGGGCATCCATATTACATAAAGTTCTGGTCTCCACAAAATTCGCTTTGCAAGCGAGAGACCCAGGTTCGATTCCCAGCAGGGTGAAACCTTGGGCAAGTTTCCTAACTCCACACGCCTGTTAATAATCCCTCAAGAAAAAACAATAATAAATTGGTCATTTCAATCCATGACTGTTTGTGGGACACTGCTGTGTGTAATTGGATGCCGCATTTTGCCCACAAATCTAGAGATGTCTAGAAGACGTGAAAAGCGCTATATCAAATGCAAGGATTATTATTATTATAAGAGGGTTTCTCAGGGCCTGGAAGCAATCCATAGGAGAGGATCGAGGATGTTAGGGGAATAAGTCACAAGCAACAATTAGACAAGCTAGGTCTTGAGAAAAAACACCTAAGAGGGGACATTATAAACGTTATAATATTTTAAATGGCATTGAAGAAGTAAACACAGAACAATACTTCAGAATGCACCAACACAATAGAACAAGAGAATATAGGTTTAGAGTTACAAAAGATAAATTCAGGACAGACACCAGGAAGTTTTTCTTTGCACATAGTTAAAAGAAAAAACAGTTAACATAATATATAACCTAGGTACCTATATATAACCAAAGCACAGAATAATATATAACTATAGCAGGGTTATTTAATATTTTAGCCACTGGGAATTCAGATGTGAAGAAATTGCATTTTTGATTAGTAAATAAAAGAATGAATAATAGACATCGTTGTTGGGCATGTGATCTCAATACTCATATTCACTGGAGTATGGATGTGTACTTCGACATTTTTGTGCATTTGTTGTTAAATAGTATGACGAAAAACAGCATGTGTGAGTGTTTTATGATCATTGTGTGTGTTTTGCTTCTTTGGTTATTGGTATCTGCTAAAATGGTGTGTAACACTGGTGAAAACGCCAGGTTTCAGCACCAGCAATATTGTGTGGAGAGGGGAGCTGTCAATCATGGTCAGCTCGACCAACTGGAATAACCATTCCAGGCAGCAGAAGAAAGCAAACTCAGTCAATAATGAACAGCTCCAACAGGGCTCATCCTGGCAAAGGGCAAACAGCAACCAAACACCCACACTCTGGGTGGAGAGCAGGGGCGGGTCTGTGCGTCCAGCAAAAAAAAAACACTGCAAAGTTCCATGCCTCAACATAACATAACATGTAGGAGCAGGAGTAGGCCATTCGGCCCTTCGAGCCTGCCCCGCCATTCAGTCATGGCTGATCTTCTAATCTAACTCCAGCTAATAACCTAATCCTGCCTTATCCCCATATCCCTTAATCCCTTTTGCAATAAGAAATCTATCTATCTCCGTCTTGAATATGTTCAAGGACTGAGCGTCAACAGCCCTTTGGGGTAGTGAGTTCCATACATTCATCACCCTTTGAGTGAAGAAGTTCTTCCTCAACTCAGTGCGAGAGGGCTGGCCTCTGATTTCAAGATTGTGACCCCTGGTTTTAGTTTCTCCAACCAGGAGAAACAATCTCCCACTATCTACTCTATTATGCCCTTCGATGATCCTATAGGTTTCTATAAGATCCCCTCTAATTCTTCTATATTCTAGAGAATATAGGCCCAAATTGGTCAGCCTATCCACGTAACTCAACCCCTTCATCCCTGATACTTACCCAGTAAATCTACGCTGCACCCCTTCCAAGGCAAGTACATCCTTCCTTAAATAAGGAGACCAAAACTGGACACAGTATTCCAGGTGTGGTCTCACCAGGGCCCGATACAGTTGCAGCCAGACTTCCCTACTCTTATACTCTAATGCTTTCATAATGAATGCTAACATACCGTTCACCTTCCTAATTGCTGCTGCACCTGCAGACTAACTTTCTGTGATTGGTGTACAAGGACACCCAAGTCCCTCTGGACGCTAACACATTCCAATCTCTCCCCTTCTAAAAGATAACCCGCTCTACTGTTTTTGCTACCTATAGGTGGATGACTTCGCACCTCCCTACATTATACTTCATCTGCCACCTACCTGCCCAATCACCTAACCTATCTATGTCTCGCTGCATTTTTTTAATGTCATCCTCTGGGTTGACACTTCCTCCAAGTTTTGTGTCATCCGCGAATTTAGATATATTAACTTCGATGTCCTCATCTAGATCGTTGATGTAGATGGTAAACAGCTGAGGCCCAAGGACTGATCCTTGTGGCACTCCACTAGTCACATCCCGCCAATCTGAAAAGGACCCGTTTATCCCTACTCTTTGTTTCCTACCCGTTAACCATTAACCACACGTTAACCATGTGGAGTCCTGTAGCTCAGTGGTTAGACCACTCGCTTTGCTGAGTTCAATTCCAGGCAGAGGGCGAAACCTTGGGCAAGTTTCCTTACTCCACACAGAGCCTAATAATAATCCCTCCAAAACCAAAAACAATAATACATTGGTCATTTTCAATCTACGACTGTTTGTGGGACATTGCTGTGCGCAATTGGCTGCCGAGTTCGCCCACAAAATATACAGTCAATTCACTTTACAGTGTGTTCTGTGAAGTGCTTTGGGACGTCCTCCCGACGTGAAAAGCGCTATATCAAATGCAAGGATTATTATTATTATTATTATATTCCCCAATCCACGTTAATATGCTCCTCCCAATTCCATGGGCCCTTATCTTTTGGATTAACCTTTTATGCGGCACCTTACCGAATGCCTTCTGGAAGTCCAAATAGACCACATCCACTGATTCACCCTTATCTAGTTTACTCGAAATATCCTCAAAAAACTCTATGAGATTTGTCAAACATGACTTCTCTTTTGTAAAGCCATGTTGACTTGGCCTAATTATATTGTGCTTCCCTAAATACCGCACTACCACATCCTTAATCAATGATTCTAAATCATGGAAGCCTGAATGGTGGCAGATGTTTGTTAAGTAGAGTTGGTTAAGTCAAATATACATGTGAAGTAATTTACCTGTATTGTGTGGGTGTATGTAAGGCGTTGTCTATTAAAATTAGTACAGGTGTTACCGTGGCCACACCAGTGGCTAATCAGCGATTTATGTTGGACAATACTGGAACTGCAGCACAATACCCAGCCAGGGCACAATATGTAACCAATATATAAGCATGGCAACTCTGGCAATGCAACACACCCCAGCACTGCTGAAGTGTCAGCTTAGACTTTGTGAGTCCAAGTCCCGACATTGTGTTTCAACGCATCACTTTCTGATTCAAAGGTGAGAGTGTTATCAATGAGACTAACTGACATAAAGGTGACTTTTTTTAATGTTAAATTCTCCCCCCAACTCCATTTTTTCCCATTTTTCAGAGGGAAAAAAATAGACCCTTATTAAAAAGAAGAATACCCAGGTTTTTAATGTGTGGATAAAAGGTGGCTTTAACAGTACTGCCTAAGAAAGCACTCATAAATGTATAAAAGTCCAGGTTTTCCCACTTTTCTTTTCACTCAAAGCTACTGACTCATTCTGAGTGTGGTCATGTTGGTGCTAATCCCTCCAGCACCAAGGATGAGTACCCATTCACACGTGAGCTGAAAGGCCTCAACACGGAAGCTGGTTTTTCCAAGTTCTTATAAAGGCCTGCTGATCACAGACCTCCAAAACAAGATTAAGAGTAAAACTTTACCAAAATTCTGCACAATCTGAAATTTGAAAATAATGGTCTTTAAAGGCTAAGAGAAATATTGAGCTTTCGAAGCTTTGACAGCAATTAATTTTTTTTTGTGTATTACGCTAGAACACTCACCCCAACGACAGATGCAGCCACTTGTGTTATTGAGTACAAAAAATACCATTATGGTATTGAATCAGTGGTAGCCAATTCATGGCCTGCATGCTGGAAGTGACCCACAAGGCGTCAGAAAGCAGCCCCTCGATCATTCGCACTATCCAGGTAAGTCCATGTTTGATCAGTTGTGTTTTTCCAGGTTTTTCTTGATTCAAGAAATTTTATTTGCCAACCAAAAAAGTTGGCCACCACTGTATTAAATAAACTGGAATAGTTATTACAACCAGATTAATTTAATATTGTTTAAATTATATTTAAGAATGACTGTATATCCTGTTCTGTAAGTAACTTTATCTTTGAGTTACTTTTGAAAATGCATTTAAGAAGAGGCTAGATATACACATGAGGGAGAAGGAAATCTAGAATAATAACAATGATAATAGAAGGGAGTAAACAGTGAGTGGAGACTCCTGTGGAGTGTAAACTCCAGCATGGATTAGTTGGCTGAATGACCTGTTTCCATACTGTACATTCTATGTTAGTCTATGCACAGGCTAATTGATGTTTATTATTGTTGCAGAATAAACTAAGCATTATTGCACCTATTTAAACTCTATTTACATCTTCAGAACACGTGTATAGAAACACGTTATGATGAGAACTCACTCTTAGCATCAGGCTGCATGTGTTTTTCTCTTGTAAACAATGTTAATTTGTGTTAATGAAAAACAGAAGGTCTTCACAAAAAACAGCTTTACACAAACATTCCAACATACAGGTTAAGGATCAACACATAAATATTT